AGGAATGCAAGGATGGTTCAATATATGCAATATATGTGATACATCACATCAACAAAATCGAGGACAAAAACCATCTGATTATCTCAATAGATGCAGAAAAAGCATTTGACAATATTCAACATCCCTTCATAATAAAAACTCTCAACAAATTATATATACAAGAAAAATATTGCAACAAGTAAAAGCCATATATGAAAAACTCACTGCCGACATCATCCTGAATGGGGAAAAGTTGAAAGCTGTTCCTTTAAGAACAGGAACAAGACAAGGATGCCCACTCTCACCACTCCTATTTAACACAGTACTGAAAGTATTACCCAGAGCAATCAGGCAAGAGAATGAAATAAAGGACATCCAAATTGGAAAAGATGAAGTCAAACTGTCCTTGTTTGCATATGACATGTTCCTGTATAAAGAAAAACCTAAAAACTCTACCAAAAAAACTCTTAGAGCTGATAAACGATTACAGTAATGTTTCAGGATACAAAATCAACACACAAAAGTTTTTGTACTAAGCAATGAACTAGCAGAAAATAAATAAAGAAAGTAAGCCCATTTACAATAGCCATCAAATAAATATTATACCTAGGAATAAATTTAACCAAGGAGATAAAATATCTCTATAATGAGTGCTACAAATCACTGCTGAAGGAAATTAAAGAGGACACAAAAAGATGGAAAGATTTCCATGCTCCTGGATTAGATGAATTAACATTGTGACAATGTCCATACTGCCCAAAGTGATCTACAGGTTCAATGCCATCTCCATCAAAATACCAAGGACATTCTTCACAGAAACAGAAAAAACAACCCTAACATTCATATGGAACAAAAAAAGACCCTACATAGCCAAAGCAATCCTGAGCATAAAAAATAAAGCCAGAGGCATTATACTACCTGACTTCAAATTATATTACAAAGCTATAGTAACCAAAACAGGATACTGGCATAATAACAAACACTCAGACCAATGGAACAGAATAGAGAACCCAGAAATCAATCCACATACTTACAGCTAACTGATCTTTGACAAAGTCCCCAAGAACATACATTAGGGAAAAGACAGCCTCTTCAATAAATGGTGCTGGGAAAACCGGACATCCATGTGTAGAAGAATGAAACTAGATCCATACCTCTTGTATATACCAAAATCAACTCAAAATGGATTAAAGACTTAAATATAAGACCTGAAACTACAAAACTACTAGTAGAAAGCATAGGGGAAACCCTTCAGGATGTAGGACTGGGCAAAGACTCTGAATAAGACCTCAAAAGCACAGGCAACAAAAGAAAAAATAAACAAATTGGATTTCATAAAACTAAAAAGCTTCTGTACAGCAATCACAAACAACAGTGAGAAGACAACCTACAGAATGAGAAAGATTTGCAAACTATGCATCTGACAAGAGATAAATATCCAGAATATACAAGGAACTCAAACAATTTAACAGTGAAAAAGCAAGTAACCCAATTTAAAAATGGGCAAAGGATCTGAATAGACATTTCTCAAAGGAAAATATACAAATGGCCAACAGACACATGAAAAAATTCTCACCACCACTCAGCATCAGGGAAATGCAAATCGAAACCACGCTGAGGTATTATCTCAATCCAGTCTGACTGGCTGTTATCAAAAAGACATAATAACAAATGCTAGTGAGGCTGTGGATAAAGGAGAACCCTCCTACACTGTTGGCGGGACTGTAAATTAGTGCATCTATTACAGAAAACAGTATGGAGATTTCTCAAACAACTACAAATAGAACTGCCATACGACCCAGTGATCTCACTGCTGGGTATATACTCAGAGGAATGGAAATCATCGTGTTGAAGGAATACCTTCTCGCCCGTGTTTATTGCAGTTCTATTTACAATAGCCAAGAAACAAACCTAAACATCCATTGACAATGACTGGATGAGGAAAATGTGGTATATATACACAACGGAATACTACTCAGCCATAAAAAAGAAAGAAATTCTGCCATTCACAGCAACACGGATAAGCTTGGAGAAAATTATGTTAAGTGAAATAAGCCAGGCACAGAAAGTTAATGGGCCGGCCGGTGGCGCACTGGAGAGTGCGCTGCTTGGGAGCGCGGTAGCGCTCCCGCCAAGGGTTCGGATCCCATGTGGAGACCGGTTCCCGCTCACTGGCTGAGCGCAGTGCAGGCGCGACACCGAGGGCTGCAATCCCGTTACCGGTCAGTAAAAAAGACAAAAAAGGAAAAAAAAAAAAAAAGTTAATACCACGTGGCTTTGCTCACAAGTGGGAGCTAAAAAACAAACAAATAAATAAGGAAAGAAAGAAAGAAAGATACAACAATCACAATAACATGTCGAACTTTCAAAAGGAAAGAACAGAACTGTGGTTGCTAGAGGTGGGAAAGTTAGCAAGAAATTGGTAAAGGATCACAAAGAATGATTATGTTTTGTAATGATGAATACATTAATTATCTCAATTTGATCATCACTTTTGCACACGGGTATTGATATTCAACCCAGTACCCCACAAATATGTATAATTAATTATGTTTCAATTAAAAATAAAGGAAAAGAAAAGAAGATAGAGAAGGCCAAAAGAAAACAAGAAAAAGAAAAATACTTAGAAATTTATACTGGTATCCTACCTATTTAGCTACAAGTGTTAAGACTGTTAAATAAAGGCAACTTTTCAATACTAAAAAAAAAGCTAGATCACACATTGAAAAGGAAAAGTGAACTAACATGTATTGAGCAGTGTGAGACAATACTACATATTTTATATATATCAACTTATTTAGTTCTCACAGCAGTTTTTCAAGGTAAATGGTGGTGTCACTATTTTATCTTTCAAGAAATGGAGACTTAGAGGGTTGTTTCCTTTAGAAGGTTGCCCAAGATCACATAGCAAATAAGTGATAAAATAGGGACTTGAATCCATACCTGTAATATGTTGTTTTTCTTACATCATATTGCCTCTATTATATCATCCCGCAATTTTTTTAAGTGTATCTTGTTCTGAATGAGAAATGAATTCACTTAGATCAGTGGTTTTCAAACAGCTCCGGGTAACTCAATTGTCAAGGGTTCCACAAACTATAAAGTTTCTTATATACAAAAAATGAAGGTTTCAAATTACACCAAAAAAACCCTACTCATTGTCTTATGTCTGCTTTGCAGGTAAAATTCCCTTCAAAAAAGTTAAACTTTCAAAAAAAAAAAAAAACAAGTTTCAAAATGATTTTCTAGACCATAAAATATTCATTCCCTTGTTGATAAATAGGGAAGAGAAACAAGGACTAATAGATGAAAATGACAGGATACACATTCAGAGCGGGGCAGTTGAACAGGGAGGGGCAGGTGGCTGGCAGAAGGAGAAAGAGTCTGGACTAAAGGGGGATGGGGGTGATAAGCCCAGGTATAAAGGGACTGAGATGAAAGGCACCAGAAGAAGATGCAAGTCAGGATAGCTGAGCCAAGATATGGGATCTAACCTTAGCACTGACACTATAGACTAAAGGTTTTTATGGTGCCCCTGAAGCCAGCCCCAGCCCCTCCCCACTGTCCTCTGCCACCAGCTGTGCAGATTCTGGTAAGGGGTGAGATAGGACAGAATTCACCAGATGAACAGAAGTTATTCTGGCCATCTCTGTGGTAACAGAGGTAGCAGTCAGATCACCCCTACAACCACCCCCTTCTTGCTCCTGGAAACTCCAGGCCTATTTTCTTCTATCCTCAGGAAAGCTCCCGAGTATTTGGAGCTAGAGCAGGCAGTGCAGCTTCATCTAGGGCTTTGGGCTCCAAATCTTCGGCTTTAACCTTTCCCAGTTCCTCTTAGTCTCACCCTGACATGGTGAAAGACGATCTTTGGCTGTTGTGATTTTCATGGATCAATGTACATTCCACACCTTTTGAGATCAAGTCTTTCTACAGCCATGTTTGAAAACTGAAAAGATACATAGGCTTTCAGGCTACTAAGATTTTCTTACACCAAGCTTTAAAAAAATTGCGAAAAAGTTATTTCTACATTTCCAGGATACAAAAGAACAAGCAAATTGAGGTGTATTCAAGATAGCAGCACAAAGGAGAGAGAGAGCACGTGGTTGTGGAAAAGAGAAAGAAATAAGGGAAGCCTTCTGGGAGGAGGTAACATCTCAGCCAGGATTGTCACCAGGATGGCAATGTCAGGCAACGAGTTCAGACAGAGAGAACAGCCCCACTCTCCACTTGCCCAGTTCCACCTGTCCCTGCAGCTTCTCTGCCTAAGGGACTTTCCCCTCTAATGAGCTTCTGCTCCGCCCTGTGACTGACCCCACGTGAAATATCTCCTCCCTCTGAAGCCCTTATCTTCCCTCCTCCAGTTGCCAACAGCACTGATTACTTTCTCCTCGGTATGCCCATCCCTCTCTGAAGACCACTGAATCAAAGCTGAGGCCATCGGAAGTTGGAAAGGGGCAGGAGGAGGGGCCTTAGTGAGAAATTGTTAAAGGGTCACAAAAAATGATTATAATGTATAAGGTTGAATATGCTAATTATCCTGATTTGAGCATCACATATTGCACACAGGTTTTGATACTCAACGCAGATATAAACAATTACATTTCAATTTTTAAAAAAGACCAGATTACTGAATCACCCCTTAGCAGTGTGTCTCATATCAGTAAATCCTCTCATTCATGGGTGAGAAAACTGAGGAAGATTGCAGAAGATTTGGGGAACAGCTGACAGAGGCAGTCCGTGAACGCGGGGCCGGGCAGGAGAAGCTCCGCGCACACGGAGCTCGGCTACTCCGTCCTACGGGGCCCTGCGGGGCGGGGCGGTGGCCGCGGGCGTCCCGGGCTTGAGTCCCCGGGAGCGCTGAGCTGGCAGCGAAGGCGCGGGAGGGAGGCGGGAGGACGCGGGACGTCGCGGCAGCTCTGCTCGACCCAGAGGGGTCCTGCGGGGTGCTCCGCGGGTGTCGGGGTCCCGCGGTTCGTGGGGTCGTGGCTCCCCCGGCTCAGCGCCGCCCCCGCTCCCCGCAGAGAATTACGTCTTCCAGGGACGGCAGGACTGCTACGCCTTTAACGGGACGCAGCGCTACGTGGACAGGTACATCTATAACCGGGAGGAGTTCGCGCGCTTCGACAGCGACGTGGGGGAGTTCCGCGCGGTGACCGAGCTGGGGCGGCCCTCAGTCAAGCACTGGAACATCCAGAAGTACTTCCTGGAGCAGAGGCGGGCCGCGGTGGACACGTTGTGCAGACACAACTACGAGCTGGACGAGACCGTCACCCTGCAGCGCCGAGGTGAGGGCTGCGGCCGGGGCTCGCGGGGCAGCCGCGGGGGCTAGACCAGGGAGCAGGGGCGCCGGGCCCACCTAAAGGACCGTCGCGAGGGGCGGGAAGGGCACTCTGCGGTTGGGGATTGATGGGGGAGCTTGTCCGGGGAAGCCAGGCCAGAACCTGAACTGGGCTGTGCACAAAATGAGGCAAGATGGATGGAGAGGCAAGTCCTCAGGAGTTTATCAGTCCTGGCAACTGTCCAGGTGTGGAGGTGAGGGGGTAGGAGGCAACGGGATAACTTGCACGGAGGTGGAGATGGAGGTGGTACCTCCAGACACAGTAGGCCATGCAGAGAAGAAACATTGTGGGGAAGACAGTGAGACTGAGGTGCCTGAGGGGCACCAGTGGACTGTCTCATGAGCAGGTGTAATGAAGGGTCTGGAGCTGGGCAGGAGGGTCTGGGCTAGATGAGATCATCTAGGGAGAGGGATCCACTAGGAGGAGAGCAAAGGGCTGAATCCTAGAACCATGGGCATGTTTGATCCTGGCCAAGAGAGAAAAGCCTGTAAAGGAAACCAAAAAGTAAAGAGGGGTATTAGGAGAATCCAGGCAGAGAAGTGTCACAGAAGCTGAGGAACAGATGGTGGCCTACACAGAACCGCACATAGTGGTGGTACCTGTGACTTAGGAAGATAACTAACTAGAAGTAGAAATGTGGGTTTGGAAACCAGGGAGAGCTTGGGGAGGGCAGGTGGCTGCAGCGGTGGAAGCGGGAGCTGGACCACGTGGACTGAGAAGCGAGGGGCGAGGAGCAGTGAGGAGCATCAGCGCCTCGGGCTGAGATGGCGCTTTATCTGCCCCGGGCTCCCCATTGCTGGTGCAGGGCAGAGTTTGAGCTGGATTGTGCTGTTCCTTCAGGAAGCCTGGGTGTACAGGGAAGAGAGGTGAGGTGCATGTGCAGTCAAGAGGAGATTTCAAGGATGGGAGAGGAGAGCATTGGCTTCTTCCCATCATCTGATAGAGTGGGGGAGCCTGGTGCACCATCCTCGGGAGCCCTGAGGAAATAGCATCAAGGGTGGAGGGGTGAGCTTTAGACAAAAACAAGGACACTTGTCACAGAGAAAAAGGAAATGATGAAGGGTGGGAGAAGGGAAAGGCTGTGGGAGGTCACACCTTTAATCCCTCTTTTCTTGGGAAAGTGAAGCCAAGGTCATACACAAGTATGATATGGTAGGCAAATTGTGTAGGAATTAGGAGAGTGACATGGATTTGGGAAAGTTGCTGAGGTCATTAGTTGAGAGAAATGTCCAAAGAAAATTAATACAATTGGCAAAAACAGTTTCTAAAACTTTGTAGGGGCACAAATCAGCTACATGGCATCATTTTCTTTAACTATAACCAGCTGCCAGGTTGCAGAGAGCCTTGGATGCCAACCTAAGGAGTTTAGCTTTATCTTTTAGGCCAGCAGGTCCCCAACCTAACTGTTCACAAGACTCTCCTGGAGATCTTCTTTAAAGCACTGATTCTCCCAAATCACTGTCTAGAGATTCAGATTTCATGGGTGGTGAGGTGTAGAAATCTAGCTCCCTACTGATTCCCATGTCATCAGATGTGTTGTCAAGGTACTGAAATTTTTTTTTTAATGAAAATACAAGGTCAGAGCTGTGTTTTCAGAACAGTGTGAAATGGGTAGGGGAGAAGATGGACTGGAGTTAAGGAGGTCAGGTAAGAAACTGTTATTATTGTCTAGGGAAATAGTAATGAGTGAGTGAATTAAAATAGGGAAGAACACAGAGAAGCAGGGGAGAGAGGCCAAGGGGGGAGGAAAGGAGTTGTGGCAATCCTAATGTGGATGCCCAACTAAATCTAAAAGTAATTGAACAAATGTTCTGTGTGCATTAGATGAGGCAACTAGAATAAACATGAATTTTGCCTCTGTCAAATATGTTTGAGGCGGGTCAGAGGTGAGACCACTTGGTACTAGCCCTAGCTCCAGCGCCCCCTACAGGTCTGTCATGCAGCCCAAGCTGAGCAGCCTCCCGTCAAAGAATGTTGAGCAAAGTGCCTGTCATGGAATGTTCTGGGACCTTAAAACAGACAACCAAGTACACTTCCTAATTTCTATGGTGCCCAGGAGCCCTGTGGAAAAGAAATTGAGCATAATCCACAATTGGGATTCAGGCCTTGGGTGAAACGGTCTGATGGACTGTGAGTTCAGAAAGGTGGTTGAAGTAGAGTGAGACACAAGGTGCCTCTGAAGTAAAATCACCTTGAGGGGAAAAGGCTGGCACTTGAGATTCATCAAGGCAAAATATAGGCAGTAAAGAGTGTGGGTATAGTTCAAGACTGTACCTTTACCTTACCCAGCCCCTCCTCCGGGCATTTGTGTTCTCTGGGAAGTAGGAAGTAGAAAGGAAAGAACTAAGTTATTAAGGACCTAGACTGTGATTGGGGAAATTCCTCTGAATGGGCTCTTCTCCAGGGGCACTGGGTCTTTCTGCCCTCTGTAGAGGAGCAGGGTACTGGAGGCAGAGATCCAGAATAAGAAACTGCAGGCATGGAAATTGACCTACAAGCAGCAGAGGATCAAGGAAAGGAGGGACAACAAATAGAGAGATGCAGAGGTACAGGCAACACCTGATTATCTGTGAGATTCTTCAAGGGACCCAAGAAAACATACTTCAGAGGAGAAATTTGGAAAAGGATGGTGTTTCTACTAATCAAGCATGTAGGGGCTCAGAATATTGGGGTTTGGAGATATACCATAAATATGAAGATTGGGGGTTTTGTAGGAGAGGCCAGGCAATATATGGGTTATTTGCAGAATAAGGCACGTAAGCCTTGCTCAATTTTCTTTATATTTTTATGAAATAAAGTTATTGGCTTAATAAAGCAAGAGAATGCTATTGTCTGTATATCTTAATTTCAAGAAGTTATTTAAGTGAATTTTGCATACTTTGCATCAAGACAGAGCATTGAAAAGATAGGTAGTTTCATGGCTGATTAAATATTCTTTGTCCAAAGGCTGTCAATTGCTTGTAGTAAAAATTTCTCCTAAATGTGCTGCAAAGTGCTGCCCTTGTCTCTCTCCTATTCTTTCAAAACTTATTATTTAATTCAGGGTCATGCATATTCTATTTGAAAGTCTATTTCTATCTTTTCAGTATTACCCTTATCCACTAGCCTAATTACATCATTTGTATTTTACACATCTAGAAGTCAATTCTGTAATGAACATGTCAAAGAAGTTATGATTTCAAGTGTTATTCCACTTTTTTCCCTCCCTGCTCCTAGTCCAGCCTAGGGTGAACATCTCTCCCTCCAAGAAGGGTCCCCAGCAGCACCACAACCTGCTTGTCTGCCATGTGACAGATTTCTATCCAGGCAACATTCAAATCCAATGGTTCCGGAATGGACAAGAGGAAACGTCTGGGGTTATGTCCACTGAACTGATCCGTAACGGAGACTGGACCTTCCAGATCCTGGTGATGCTGGAAATGACCCCCCAGCAGGGAGACGTCTACACCTGCCAAGTGGAGCACCCAAGCCTGGACAGTCCTGTCACCGTAGAGTGGAGTGAGTTGTTCACTGATGACCCTTCTAGAACCCACCTTCTGAAGAGCAGGGTATGCTCTGGCTCTGGGATCCATTCACCGTGTCTGTGTCTGCACACTGGAGCCATGTCTACCCCTATCTTTCCTCTCTACAAGCCCCTGACTGTAGTTCTGAGCTGTGGGAAATGGAGACTTGCCTGTCCCTGGCCTAGGATATCCTGCGGATTCAGGATCTACTCCTTTGTCAGAGAATCTAGGAAACCAGACACCTTCCTTAATTGCCTTCACACATAGGAACTGTTCTCTTCCTTCAGCCTTTCAGCCTTTTCTGATTTATTTTGAGTGGCATCTGCCAGAAGCAGCATTCTTCCTTTGTTGAGGACATGCCCTAAGATCCAGAATTGAGGAGGTGTATCTTTCTAAATTTCCTCCTTATCCCAGGTATATCCCCATCATTGTCCTCATGCCGATATTCTACATCAGGCTCCAGGATCTCAGACAGGACCTGAGGAGGGGTGCAGCTGGTGGAGGTGAGACTGACCCTGGGTCTGTTCTTCCTAGGGGCACAGTCTGATTCTTCCTGGAGCAAGACGCTGACTGGAGTCGGGGGCTTTGTACTGGGGCTGGTCTTCTTTGGAGTGAGCATCTTTATTCACATGAGGAGCAAGAAAGGTAAGAAAGCCTGCCAGGTGACTGAGACTTGCCTTTCCCCACACTAACTCACCCATCTTGCATGATAAGGAACTGAGACAGAAAAGCAATGTCAGAGAGTTCTGGAGGACACCCAAGTCAGATTGTCAGAGAGAAAGATGGCCTCTAGGGAGAGAGGAATCCCCAGGCTGGGATCTTAATGCCATCAGAGCCTGAGGTCTCCAGGTATTCAGGCTCAACTGGCCATCCATTCAGTGATGGGTTAGTCTTCAACCAGTCCCTGTCCTAATTCCCTATGGTAGAATCAGGGCAATGGAAAATGGGGTGGAAGGCTCATCTAATTGTCTAAGGTGTTTTTAATAGGTGAATACGTTCCCTTTCCTCCTTTCATTTCAGTTCAATGAGGATCTTAATAAAGAGGTAATATTCCTGCTTTGATTTTCTTGAGGGGGTGGGTTGTAGAAAGACTTGTAAGTCTTTTTTTGCATTGTGACTCTGAGGCATCTACTGGGAAGAAAGTCTCAGGCCTGAATGTCTCTTTCAACCTCAGCCCTTGGGTGAGTGTGAGGGAAGAGCATTACTTTACTCAAATGAAGAAGGAAGCCAAGGTAGACTGTTTTCTATCAGGCTAAGATTCAGACTGTCACTGTAATTTTCCTCTCCTGGGACTTAGAGGAAGAGGGGTTGGCAATGAGGGATAACTTTTTTTTATTACCCCCACACATTCTTGATCTGACCTGAAGCACTATATGTGTGCCTTAGAGCAAAGTATTTTTCTGTGTTTCTTTCATCCCAGAGGCTGGTTCGTCCGAGACTGATGGCTTCCCAAGAGGATGTTTCTGCGAGTAATTGCTCGGAAACCACTTTCTGTTCTTTGATTCAATGCACAGTTTCTCTTGTGGAGCCTCCAACAAACTTCCCTTTTCCTTAGCTCCATAAATAATCAAAATCCAATGTTACTGTCTGTTTTCTTTTAAGAATATGCACCAAGTCATACGTGCCATTGCTTTTGTTTGAGGGTTTGGGGAAAGAGTAGGAGTTAATGAAGAAGTTCATTGTAGTTTATACATATGCAAGAAGAAAAACAGGAAAATGGGGATATCCTAACTAATGGAAAGGGTGGCAACTGAATATGGACCTCCTCCGAATTTGCTATATTTCACTGGACTGCCCCCTGTTCGTGTTTACGAACTTCATCCATGTAGGTCTGAGACCATCACTCCTAGTCATTCAAGGATGAGCAGACCCTGAATTCTCGGTTATACAAACCATATTCACATAGCACTGATTCAACATATTAAGAGCATGTTTTACTATTACCATTAAGAAATCAAATTAAGATAAGAATTAATAATTAAAAATCAGAAATATATATACTTTTATGAAGTTGTTACAACAAGCAAACGGAAAGGACATTCTTGGGGGGGTGGGGAGAGAGGGAGGAGGGAGAGAGTGTCGGTGATGGGCCATAATAATCATATACATTGTATATTGACAAAATAAAAATTTAACGAAAAAAAAAATCAGAAATATAATGTTGTACATTTTTTTTAATTTTTATTTTGTCAATATACAATGTAGTTGATTATTATGTCCCATCACCGAAACCTCCCTCCCTCCTCCTTCTCCCCCCTCCCACCCAAGCGTGTCCTTTCCATTTGCTTGTTGTAAGAACTTCAAAAAAATTGTGGTTGTTATAACTTCCTCTCCCCCCCACCGGTTTTTTGTTTTTTTGTTTTTTGTTTGTTTGTTTGTTTGTTTGTTTTGTGTGTGTGTGTGTGTGAATTTATTTATTTATTTTTAGCTCCCTCCAATAAGTGAGAACATGTGGTATTTCTTTTTCTCTGCCTGACTCGTTTCACTCAATATTATTCTCTCAAGGTCCATCCATGTTGTTGCAAATGGGAGTATTTCATTCGTTTTTATAGCTGAGTAGTATTCCATTGTGTAGATATACCACATTTTCCGTATCCACTCATCTGATGATGGACATTAAATAAATCAATTCACACACACACACACACATACACACACATACACACACACACACTCTCACACACACACACACACAAAAAAACAAACAACAACAACAA